TTTGGTGACACTGTGAAAAAGATGAGCTCCTAGGCCATGGATAGAGCATTCATAAATGAGTGAAGGAGGGTTTTTAGGCCCGATGGAAACAAAAGGAGCGGTGATGAAGAGGAGAAATAAGACACTCCCTACCAGAAGGGAAGGCGAGGGAGACCAAGGCGAACTTGGCACTCACGGGCATGCTTAACCATCATGTGTAGCGTGGGACCTGGAGGAAGCTGAAGCCAAGGGCGAGGATGTCTCTCCTCCGTTGGCAGAGGCAGACAGAGGATGAGGTTCTGGGAATTTTCTGAGTTGCTTTCTCAGGTCAAGGGCCTATGTCATTAAGAAACACAAGAAGTGAACAGGTCTTGCTGAAGCCAGTTTGACTCATGGATAGAGCATCGGCCTGCGGACTGAAGGGTCCCAGGTTTGATTCCGGTCAAGGGCATGTACCTTGGTTGTGGGCATATCCCCAATAGAGAATGTGCAGGAGGCAGCTGATCGATGTTTCTCTCTCATTGATGTTTCTAACTTTCTATCTCTCTCCCTTCCTCTCTGTAAAAAATCAATAAAATATATATATTTTTTAAAAGTGAACAAGTCGGATCATCCCAGTTACCATTCCCAAGCCTGCGCTTCTTCAGGACAAAGTAGGACGTCCAGACGCTCTGAACCGATAGTCACAGCTTCACAGGAAGTGTGTTAACTTGTTCAAAGAGCCCACGTGGGAGATCCGAGCTGGGTGGGGGGACCGAGCCGAGGTTTCCTCAAGGCTGGTCACTTCACTCTGCACAACCACCCCAAGTTCGAGAGCCACAGTGCCATCTGGCAGAAAGGACTCCCTGATTTTGGTAAGTGCATACGTGAGCTGCATTTTGTGGCTGTCTCCACAGAGCAAACCTCAGGGTGCCTCTGAATGTTCAGAATCTGCCCTATTGACAGAGTCCTGGCTGAACAGTCACGGATACAGCACAGTGAACTCTCCCCGCCAAAACAGCAGCGGCTCCCTCTCCTTGTCTGTCGCACTTTGGAATTTAATTTCCCAGGTCAGCCTGCAATTTTTATGATTTTTGTGGTCCATTTTGCCCAAAGATTTCCACAATACACATTTCTGAAAATTAAATAAGCTCCATTAACAGGAATCTACACCTAACGTCAAGTTGAAAGACGCAGCCTAAAATACATCCCGAGTCCTCAGGTGACTCATTCTGTTATCACCACACCGGTCACTGATGAGCATCGGGCCCTCTGTTACTGTGAAATTCTGTGCAGATGAAGTTAGTTTGGGGCTGCTTTTATTTTTCCGCTGAAATCCAAAATGCTAAACAACAAGAATGTTACTCACAAAATAACAATGCAGCCACACACATGCGGTTATCAAATTAAATGGTCCACCAGTGAAAAATCTTGGCTAAAGAGGACAAGACTCAGCCTGGCCCAAAGCCATCTGACTATTTGGGTAATGCTGGACAACTCTATTTCTCAATCCCCTCCAAGGAAGAGGGATGCCAATCACTGCCTCAGAGGGCCTCGGGGAGGATCGAATGAGCTATGTATAAACTGCGTAACACAGCAGCTGGATCATGGTAGGCCCTCAACAAATACAAGCTCCATCCTCCCTACCTGCCCCCCTCCTCCTGCTCTCTCTCCAATATCTAGGCTGTACAAGAAATCAATCGCCAACCCACTGTTACCTTTTCCTAGGAATGGAATCCAGCATGGAGGTGATGTGGTGATAAAACAAGCATTTACCAGAACATCTACCATGGGCCAGACACTGTGCTATGGTATATATCTCATTATTACACTTAGTAATAACAACATTAAATTATTATTAACATTGTCATCAATGACAGCACTATCATATAAAATGGGGAGGTACTAATAGAATCCCCATTTTAACGACAGGGAAACTGAAGACAGGTAACTACCCAGGAGGTTGGCAGTGCCAGGATCTGAACCCGGGCAGTCTGGGCTCTTCAACACGGAGCTAAGCCGCCTGGCCCTTCGCAGGGCTGGAGAGAGGCCAAGAAAGCTGGATGCCTGGCAGACCAGGCATGGAAGTGGGAGCCACAGGGGCTACGGCTGTTCCACACCCTCCCCAGCCCAAGTGGGAGGCTGTGCACTTTGGGTGCAGGACTCACACAGCCCAGCTTTGCAAAACTGCATTCCTCGGGCCTGACTAAAACAACATTTTACAAACTCACACCAAAGCCTACCTTCTGAGGTCCCGACCATTTAGCCACACTTCTTGCTACATCTTGTCTCCTGCCATTTACTTTCTTCCTGGCAGCCAGAATGATCCTTTTAAGACCAAATTCACGCCACTCTTCGGTCCCAAGTCCCCAGTGGTTCCCCACCTCCAAGGCCCTGAAGAACCACCTCAGCCTCCTTGCTGTTGCTCCAATGATACAAATTCCTGCCCCAGGGCCTTGCGCCTACTGTTCCCTCTGCCCAGAATGTGCTTCTCTCATGAATGCTTGGCTCAGTCCCTCATCTCCTTCAGATACTTGTTCACATGCCACCTTCCTGGTGATGCAATACTCCCTCTGGTTCACTAATCCCCCTCCCTGCTTTCCCCATAGCACTTGGTACCGCCTGACATACCACATGTTTTATGCATTTATTATGCCTCCCCCACTTCCACTAGAACATCAACTCCATAAGGCCAGGGTTGCTGTCTGCTGTGTTCACTACTGCACATCCAGCACCAGGTCATAGGTCAGACTCCGGCACTTAGCAGGTGCTCAGTAAGTATCTGTGAAATGAATGACTGAGAGTGATTTTCCATCTTCCCCCCACCCCAGCAATCTCCCTGTCGACTCAATCCTGATCACTTGGTTAGGCAACGAACAAATGAGTCCCTTAACCTCTTCCATCCCTGGTTTCCTCATCTCCCAACGAGAGCGTTGAAGGAGGTTATTATCTACAGAGTCCTTCCACGCCCGAAAACCTTCGGCTGACAACAAAAGGCAATAATTCTTCACTACAGCAAGCCCGTAGCTTCATTTACTCGATTACAGAAACCATATTTCCTTTAGTATTTTCCCCAGCCAAGGCCCCGCAGCCCCCATGCCCTGAGAATGAGTGAGGTCTGGCTGAGCTGTGCTCTGTGACTTGTAACCTGCACACCGGGTCAGCATTAACCTCAAGTGCTGGGATCACCGGTCTCGTAAAATCGACCCAGGTTGGGTTACAGGGAAATAAACCAAACCACATTCGGTTGTCTCTTAGGATCAGAAACACCATCGCTCCTTGTCCCCCTCAATTTCACACTGATTCCTGAGCAGTCCACGCTGTTGCTTTTGGGGTTTAGCCAGAGGCCCTATCGAGAAGTAACGAAACTGGGTGTACTGGGCCAAAAGGAAGGTGCTGGGACGAAAGCAGACTGTGGTGTGCAAGAGAGCATGCTGTGGCTGGGAGCTCAGGGGAAGCCCATGTCAGAGGTTTGCAGGTCCTTCAAGGTCATTCCATCTAGCCTACCTCTAACCCCAGGGAACCTTGGGCTTTTGTTTCCCCATCTGAAACAGGGACTAAGGGGTGGGGGTGGGGGAACATCTCTAATGCTCCACAAAGTGCCTCCAAGTCTGAACCCCACTTGGCCAATCTAACCCATGCCAGGGTCAAGTTCACCAGCATCAGCCAAGGCCTTCTCTTGATTGAATGTTGGGTCACTGTATAACATGACTGCTTGGTCTTTCAAAGATGCACTACTAGCTTTACTGACAGAATCAATAGAAACTCACTTGTTAGCTCCTTCGGAGTCCCTGCCTTCTTGACAAGCCTGCCACCTGTGCAGAGCCGTTGGCCCCTAGCAGTCTCAGCTATTACCTATTCACCGATCACTTCATACAGAGAAGTGAGAGGGCACAATGGTTAAGCATAAGCATTGGAGAAGTCAGACCTGGGTGAGCATCCTGGCTGAACTACTCACGTCCAACTGGGCAGCCTGAGCCCCAAACACATCTCTATGCCTCGGTTTCCCCATCTGTAAAGTGGGAATAAGAGCACCGCCCACTTAGGGTTGTTATAAAGATTACATGAATTAATAGTAGGTTAATATATGTAAGTCACGAAGTCAGGATGTGACATGAAAGTGCTGACTCAATGGTAGTCATTATCATTAGAAATTTCTTCAAATTACACATGACCCTGAGAGGTTTGGACTGGTCCTTCCTGGGGTATATTCTGGCATCGTGGTAATAATACGGGGCTCCATGACTATGTTCAAGCCTAGGCTAGTCACGGAGAGCAAAGAGATGGCACGCATGCTATCTACCTGCTCCCCCGACTGGGCAGGCATCTCGAATCTATCTCAGCGCTCTTTTTTTCCTTCCCCTGCAGCTATGGGCTGCTCAGGCTCAATATAGAGATCAGGCAGCCACTAGGCCTATGGGGAAACCCGCCTGCTGTCCCCTGACAACAGGCAGGTATGCTGGGATGGGAGATTCATGCATAAAGGCAAGGACCATTCTGCATGAGAATTGTGAGAAACGGATGGAGCCTTGCCTGTCTGTCCACTGCTGTGGACCCAGCACTTTGGACAGTACCTGCCATGCAGCAGACACTCAAATACCCGTTGGATGAATAGATTAGCATCAAATTAGCAACACAGCACTGGGCCTCACCTAGCAGGTGCTCAATGAATGAGGGAGGACAGTGGGATATGCTCAACCCTCAGTTGAGCTCACTATTTCTGAGTTGAGTGTACCCAGCTTTGGCAGGTTCAAGGCCTCGCCATCGCCACTCACTCATCATGTGACCCTGAGCAGGATCCTTCCTCCCCAACTTGAGCAGCCAAAGGCCAGTTTAGGATTGAGTCACCCTTGGTTCCAGTCACAGAAGACACCAGGAGGTCTGCAAAGTGCTGCCCACAGCAGTACATCCTCCAGGGAAGTGCGGATACTTCCCAGCCAAGGGGACGGGCCTGGACCACCCATCCTTTCAGGCGGAAGAGGCATGCCTGTCAGGTGGCTGCTAGTTGTGAGGGAGGCGTAGTGAGGTGAGGGTGTACCTACCTGCTCGCCGTGCTTTTCCGTCCAGCCGCACTGGCTCCGTCAGCCTGCAAAAGAAACCCAAACACAGGCTTTAGCCAAGCAAGGAGACACAGAATTCTACCCTCTGCCACCCTCTCCTCCCCTCCCCACCTCAGGCTGCTGCTCAGCACAGCCTTCGGACACAGGGGTGAGCTGGCCCTGTCCCTGGCTCCATTCCTTCAGGCTGGGAAACTCTGCCCCCAGTGGTGAGAGGGAGTCAGCACACCCCCCAACCCAAACTGGCTTGGCCCTTTAAATCCAGCAGAGCACCCATTGCCAACACAAACCCAGCAACCACAGAGCCCTGGGGACGCGGTGAAAAGTAAGTAACCAGTTAAATCTGAGATTGAATTGCACCATTTTTATTTTCAGCTGGGACTTCCAATAAAACGGTAGCCGCAGATTTATTCCTACCAACCGGAGGGGGGAAATTCATTTATGTTAAAATATTCTGTCCCCCAACCCTCTGAGCAGGGGGAGGCAAGAGAGTGCTGGTTCCTAATCTCTTTATTGGGGGTGGGGGACGGGGGTGGGGGGAGGAAGTAAGGCTGACCAAAATTAAATTTTCAGAAATGATAAAATTCTGGTTACGATGGAGAGACTGAGGCCCTGGGGGAGGAGGAAGCTGCCTGAAGTCTCATGAGAGCTGAGGGACACAGAACTGGGGATCCTGACTCCCAGGCCAGTGGGGGGGGGGGGGACCCCGCTTAGGGACCTCGATGCGGAGTCCACAGATACGGGGGAAGGCCCAGACTCTCCACCCCCCCTGGTTGAAGCAGCAGCCCCTATCTTTGTGCAAACATTTAAAATTGTGGAGGTTCAAGATGCTGGCACACATTTGTCCCCAGATTCACAGTCCTTCCAATTTTAATATATTTTATTGATTTTTTTACAGAGAGGAAGGGAGAGATAGGGAGCTAGAAACGTCGATGAGAGAGAAACATTGACCAGCTGCCTCTTGCACACCCCCTACCGGGGATGTGCCCGCAACCAATGTACATGCCCTTGCCCGGAATCGAACCTGGGACCTTTCAGTCCGCAGACCGATGCTCTACCACTGAGCCAAACTGGCTTCGGCAACAGTCCTTCCAATTTTAGAAAGATAATGTTGCCACGTGTGTTCTGTATTTGGAAACAACCCTGGCGGGGTCTGGGGAGCCCCCAGGACTCAAGCGCATTGATGCTTCCACAGTGAGGCTGGCACAGGGAGCCCCACTGGGATAAATGAAGAGGGCTCAGGTCAAGTTCTCCCTTAGAGTTCTGCCACGTCATAGGTTACGAAAAATCCTTCTTTGTTTCCAAACTTTTCGAATCTCAGCAGTGGGGATGGAGGATTGATGACCTAACATATAAGCACAGCAGCAGCTACCTATTGACAAGTGCTCATGGGAGGCTGCAAACTGGCAAAACCAGATGGCAGACTTCAATCCACAGTGTAAATATATAAAAATAAAGGCATTTCACACACACACACACACACACACACACACACACACACAAAGGCCATATTTCAGCTTCTCTTTAAAAACCAGTTAATCCAGCAACACAGTCCCCACACGGCCATAGTCAGCTATAGCTACATACCTGCTCCTAACCTTCCCTCTCGCCTCACACACAGTCCCCCAGCCTGGCCCCTGTGGGCATCCAAACTGGCTCCCCTGGAGAACTTCCCAGCAGGTGCTAGTGTAGGTCATGAAATGCCATTTATTGAATCCTCTCAATAGGTCCCCCAGCACACATACACAATATTCCCATTTTACGGGTTAGGCCCAGAGGGCCCTTCAGCCATGTATCCAATACCCCATGGCTGCGCGCCCAGGTCTGGGTGACTCCATTGCCTACCTTCTCAGCTCTGTAATATTTTATTGTCCCCCAACTCCCAGGAGAGCTCATGGAGAAATGGGGTGAGCCTACAGCACCCCGATTGCCCACCAGAGGGAAGGAGAAAGGTAAAGGACAAGAGGGGAGGCGGAAGCAGGAGGCTTGGGTGGGAGAAATTAATGGGATGCCGGTGTGTTATTTCAGCAGAAGAAACAAAGCAGAAAACGGTTTGCATATCATTTCACTGGGAGCAGAGGAACAGGATCAATTACAGCCCCTCTCCGACACTGCATTCCTTAGGACTCGTCTGGAAAATGAGCGGGAAGACACTGTTTTCACGTCCATGTCCGTAAGAGGCCGAAGTGGCTGGGGGTGGGAATCCTGCCCCAGAGAGCCTAAACTGTACAGCCCCAAATGGCCTCTCGCCTTCCAGCCTCAACTCTGGCCATCGATTTCTAGCATTTCATACATATTTTTAATGATGTCTTTTGTCGCCCCTTTCCTTCATAATTTCACACGGAGTTGACAAGTTCAAATACAGGGAACACGTGGCTGGGTGCGAGAGAAGTTTCAGGGGTTTTTTTTTGCACACCTGATTATCCCCAGCTACCTTGCCCTTTTATGCTGCTTGCGATACTGGAGCTTTGTACAACTGCTGGCAACACTGATTTTGGTTTTCCACCCATTTTTATAAAATAAAGGCAAAGTGTGGATGAAAGTGTTCAAATCGTTGTCTAAACAAACCCCTTTGCAGAGACTAAGGTGGTGGCTGCAGGGAAAACAAACTGATGGAGGAGTAGAGCTGATGGACAATGGGCACCAGTCAGAGCTGTCGAAAAGAGCACCTGTCAATATCACAGCAGCTGTCAATCACAGCATGCGGGCCGCGTCTAGACCCACCATAATGACAAGGACGGCCCCTCGGGCCCTGCTAGCCCCGGTCGAAGCCCGCAATGCCAAAGGCGCCAACTCCTAAGAGGCCAGGCCAGCTTGCTGTGTGTCCTCACCAATCAATACATCATAGCGACCCCTACTGTTCGAATCAGTTGCACCGCAGACCCTGCCATTTCCCATGGCCCAAAGATCCTAATACCCGCCAACTCAGGTGACCCAACCCGAGCCGCAAACTCAGGGTAAGCTGACTTGGTCTCAATTTGAATTGACGTTTACGAGGACAGGGTTTAGACGCAGGCAGTCTGCCTTCGAGTCCTGGTTCTGCCAGTTTCTAGTTGTATGCTCTTAGGCAAGTTTCCTCATCTGTAAAGTGGCAATATCATAATCCCAGGACCTCCATCCTGGGGCTGGCATGAGACTTAAACCCAGGTAAGGTATACAGAGGAGCGCAGGTAAAAGTACGCAGCAGGGCTCAGCTGCAGAGCCGGCCTGGACAGCACCAGGGGTCTCCCTGGCCTGTCGTCAGGCCTGATCTGAACCCCATGCTGCAAATCCACATCTCCTGAGCTCCCACCTAACCCCCATCACTGAACACAGCGGAGCAGAGTACGGAGCGCGGGCCAGGCCGGTTTCCATCGCTTAAGTAATGGAAACTCTACTGCTGTCACCACTACTCCCGGGCCACGTGCTCCTAGAGGAAATGCAGCTTCCGGCCCAGGCTCTGTCTGGGTCTCGCTTTGAACCTTGGGCCAAGCTTTCCTGTCCCTGGACCCGAGCTTGCCCACAGGCAAGAAGGGGAGCAGGAGCAGGAGAGCTAAATCAGATCATCTCCGCCCCCGACTTCCATCTCAGTCATTCTAGGTGGAGTTGACCCAACCTTAACCAAACCCCTCGATGGCCAATGAAATGTGCTGGGGACAATGGGCCATGGGAGATCCTCCTGCTCCCTCTCACAGAGATGGGGGTAGAGGTACCCAGACCCCCCCCAGCTCCCCATCAGGGTACCACCTGTCCCCACTTCCTAGCCCATCCATTCCTTACATACCAGCTTCTCCCTAGAACCAGAGCAAGGCTATTTTTGGTTCCATTCAACCCTCCTCTTCCCTCCCCAAATGAATGTTAAGTTGTTCTTTTCCATTCTCTTATTAAGGATTTTCTTGGAAAGAAAATATTATTCCAAACCCAGAAATTTTATTTCTAAATTTGTGCAAATGTAAGTTGTAATACATTAGCTGCATTTCACATTTTGTGCAAATGGCAGAAACAGGCAATTCGTGTGCTCCGGGATGGGGGCTGGCCAACGATTTCGATAAAATAAACCCTTTTTTAATTTAAATGCTAATGCACTGAATTAAAATTTAATAACTGAGGAAATTGAAAAGCCGAGCAGGAATATTGGAAATAAATCCAAGCAGAAACAGCTGAAATTAAAAATTCTAGAGAGTGGGAGGATAGCAGCTAAGCTGTCTTATATGATTACATTTTTTTTTTTTTTTTCCAGAATGAAGCAAAAAAAAAAAAAAAAAATCCTATCTCTCGCTGGCTCTGGGGCAGTAAATCCACAGTGCTGTGATTTATTGCTCAATTTTCCTGAGGGAAAAAGGCTTTCTTTCATGCTGAAATATTTCATAAATTTCAAGCCAGCATAAATTCTTAATTTAAAAGTTATGGAGGTCACATTTAGTGCACTGGTACGGTTCCAAAATCTTAAAGGAATAGCAGCGACCAAAAAAAAAAAAAAAAATGCAAATAGGAGGGGCAGAATTTGCTTTTTTCTCTTTTCTTTTTCTTTTTTTTTTTTTTTTTTTTCCCTTTTTGGTTTTAATTCATGAGTTGAAATTTCATTATTAAAGATTCCTCCTGGATGGATGAAACCCAAGCATGTGGGGACCTGGTGTGTATTTGGAAATCTGCTGCACAAGATGAAGAGATAAAGATTTAATTCAATTATAAAACGTTTTGTTTTTTTTTCTCCCCCTTTAAGCCACTTGAGGAATTTCTGGTAAAAATTTCCTCCCTTCACTGCCCCGGAAGGGGTGAGCGTGGGGGAGGGGGGGCCAATGTAATGGCTTCTCTTAGATCTCCAATCTTTTGTGCACACTGATATATTCATTTGTTATACAGCTGTTCAGCGGCGGAAAGAATGCTGGGGCGCCCATAATTCTAAGCAAATCAATCAAAAATTAATGATTTGTCATGCTTGCACAATGGAGGAAAACAGCTCCTTGGGCCCTGGCTGCCTGATCTCAAAGAATGAAATGCCTTTCTTGGAAAAGGGAGCTGAGCCAGAGGTCCAGGGAGGCTGGGGTGC